TAGTGAGGTTGGGCAGTGGTTTGTTCTGCTGTGCATAAGGTTGCTGAGTTGGTACTGACTCGATGGCACCTAACCAACAACATTATCTTTATAGTTAAAAGCTGAGATGTAAAATATCTTACTCTAGGTCATCCATTATTAGTAAGAGTTACTGTTGTTAAGTACTATAGAATCGGTTCCAACTCATAGTGATCCTTTATAGGGTTTCCGAGGAGCGGCTGGTAGATTTGAACCAACAACCTTGAAGCGCAAGCCAACCATGCCATCCAATGTATTATTATGCAGCACCACATCAGGACTACTTAGTAAGAGTTGTTAAGTGCTCTCGAGTCACTTCCGACTCATAGCGACTCTGTATAGAGTGGTAGATTCAAATCCAGGTCTGAGTGACTGACTCCTGAGAGTTGCTTTAGAGCTTGAAATCTTAAGGCACCTGGTTAGGGGGAGACTTCAACCAGCTGTCAGAGTCCTAAGTCCAATTTAAGCCTTGATACTAGGTTCACACATCACTGCCAAAGTCAGGGAAAGGCAACTTTGTTTATGGGCTCAGTGTATTTGAATGTGGATTAAGGTCACTACCCTAAGTAGCCCAGAGAGGGGCAGTTTTACTCTCAGGGACTTGCCTGGGTATATCTCTTAATGGAAATTGGAGTACTGGGTCCCCCCGGTTATGAGTCATGCCCGAGGGCCTCAGGTCCAATCCTGTAAACTTTTCTGCAATTGTCCCCTTCCCACTTCCACATTAGCCTGCACCTGTGACAGCTGTCACTGGACCTGCTTTTGTGATGAAATTCTCTGTAACCTATTAAACTGGCTGCCTGGAGGTGAATTCTTGGGGATACTATTATGGCCACAGGCTGATGGTCTGCCCATAAAGATGATCTGTTTTTGTCCTTGCCATGTTTTGTCCTATTTAATAATAAAAGGGACTCTAGTAAAAACATTTGAATTCAGGGGTCTTTTCTCCCCTGCAACAGAATTCATGATCAAACCACCAAGTGGCCTATGTCCC